TATGGTATCCTGTGGGTACATGTGGGACGCCTGTATCATATACACAATGTTTGTTAATTTAACTACTAATATCAGTTGTTTAAGTCTTGAATTTTATTTGGGTTGTTTATCTTGTTATTTCTACTTTCATAAAAGATTACAATAACATCAATAATTTTGCTGGAAATTTTGCTAATATTGTGATAATATGTTGATAGCATCTATAATCCAAGAATGTCTTGAGCTGTGGTGTTGTGTTCTTAACCATGACTCTGATCAAAGTTGTGTTTTAATCTACACAATCAGTTATAATATCACTTTGTTTTCAGTCTACAAGTGTTAATGTGACAATCTATGTTGAAGACAACAATGACAATTCACCGGTGTTTGAATTCAATTCTTACAATTTCAACATCTCTGAGGGATTTACTGGATTAGTGGTTGGCATGGTGAATGTAAGTAGATTAAATTAATTTTTTTAAATTTGTTTGAATTTGAATTTGTCAAATTGATATAAATTAATCACTATCATTCTTCATATTTTCAAGGCATCTGATGCTGATCTTGGTATAAACAGTGAGATTCAATTTTCACTCCCATCTCCGTATGATAACAATGGGTAAGTGATATTTCATCAGTTGTTTACCACATCCTGGTTCTTGCATGACCCCTTAAAGGTCACACATCCTGGTACTTCCATGACCCCTTAAAGGTCACACATCCTGGTACTTCCATGACCCCTTAAAGGCCACACATCCTGGGACTTGCATGACCCCTTAAAGGTCACATGCCATCCTGGGACTTGTATGATTCCATAAAGGTCACACATCCTGGTACTTGCATGACACCTTATAGGTCACACATCCTGGTGCTTGTATGATCCCTTAAAGGTCACACATCCTGGTACTTGCATGACCCCTTATAGGTCACACATTCTGGTACTTGCATGACCATAAATCCTTGGAATTCTGGACATATTCACCATCATTGAGTCTGATTTTCTCGATTATTTCCCTAACAAGATGTAAGCTGTTGTCAACTGAAGTAAACTTTTTAAAGTGAATTGTCTCAATACGAGTCTCAAGTTGGACTGTTGGCAATAAATCTTTCAAACAGTTGATCTGCTTTGGCAAATTCTTCATTGTACATGCATGGAGATAATTTCCCAAAATTAGAACTATAACTACATTTTGTATATACTTGAAAATGTTAGGTTCATGATTGTTCATGTTCA